TATAGGCATAGATGCCCTTGCATCCCCTACGCGTATTACAGGAGGAAACATATTGTAACATGGATGACAAGGCCAAGATACCTGAGAAAAGTTGATGAAAGAGGGGTGGACTCCAGCTGCCCCCACTGCCATGTGGCAGGCGCCAAAAACAGCATTCCTATGTGGGGGAGGACAGAGTCTGCTCACATCTGCGGCGATGAGAAGACGTGGCGGCTAGCCTCCGGGCGTGTGGATGATTCTGCAAGGCGGTGTAGTCCAAGCTGGACGTGTATGGAGCGGAACGCTTCAAAAGAGTGACATCCACGGCGCCAAGTATTCTTTTGACGGGGAGTTTGAAGTCAAGTCTCACTGATTGTTCTCCTTCTGTTTAGAGCCATAATAAAGCGCTAACTTTATCTGCATCCCTTCGAACTCACATGTGTATCTTTGTGGCACCCTGATTATACAAAGTACACGAATAGCGTCTGGGTACGACATAACAATATTATACCGAGTTTCTCCTGTAGAAGGACGTTCGTTCCAGAAAGCTAGAGATTAAAAAGGTTTTTGAAAAGATACATTTTCCTAGAGGCCTGATATTTTTACTCAAAAGTCGATTTAAAATATTCCACTGGTTTGCTCTTCTTTATATCCATTTATTATCTAACATTTTGAACTTTTAAAAAATATATTTATTTTTTAGACTTTCACGGATTTCTAAGTTTTGAGAGCCTTTCCGAGGTTTCTATCACAGGTTCTAAAAGAAATGATAATACATCGAGGGATAAAAATCACGGAAGAAAATACTCAATAAGAATTATTCAGGAGTGTTTAAACAATAAGTTTTAATATATTAAAGAGAGAGCCAATAAATGTAGAGGTAGCGTGGCCGAGCGGTCTAAGGCGCTGGTTTAAGGCACCAGTCTTTTCGGAGGCGTGGGTTTGAATCGCACCGCTGCCACTTTTTTTTCTGCTCTTCTACAAGGTCTTGGGGGCCACCTCTTCTTATCTCCCATGGGTAAAAATAGCCAGGACAAGGTGATTTATTGTAAGGAAAAATCCATTTAATCATAAAAATAAGATTTCTACAAAACTATGATCTGGCCAATTCTGACTTATGCTTGTTCAGGCTGGATCACAACATCTCGGATACACAATAAAACAGCTAAATATTCGTGAAAACAAAATTCTACAGCAAAACGATTCTTTGATAACCCAGTTAATGATGCTACAAATATTATTTTATTGCTCCAGCTTACCCAGAACAAGGCCGAGACAATTTCTATCACAACTTGAATCTCCAACAGCCATTTGATTTTGAAGACCACCAATCACTGAACCATGCCATCCTGATAACTGAACCAGTATTAACCAATGTCATCCAAAAATCGAACTAGTCGCATTATCAAGAACAAACATCGAACAAGACAAAATCCATAACTTGTATCTCCCCACAATTCAAGATAATTCAAACAACGCAGGAACCCTTAGAAGCACGTATTGTCTGAAGTCTTGTACGACCATCCTCGTATAAAAGAAGTTCTTCTCCCTGACTTGTGTTTTTTATTCAATAGCGAATAGGGAGATTGTTAAGACATGGAAGTGAAATTTTGCGGCATCAGAGACCTGAAGTAGTGGTGGAATGAATAAATAAAGACAATAAAATATCTATTTTTATGATTAGTGATAGTTTCATTTCAAATTTTTACCTAGGTTTTCAAATATCCCCCATATTTCCCTGAAGCTAGGTTGAAGTTTTATTCAACAAGAGTTGGGCATTTTTTTCAAATTTAAAAATTTCTACATTTATTGACAAAGGGGAAGAAATCCTTAGAAATATGGAAATACAGTAAAACCTTCCTGTAAAGGACAACACCTAATTTCAGAGCCAATGTGTTCTTTAGGGAGAGGTGTCCTCTTACCGGAGAGTTGCTAAATTGTAAAAATGGTAATTTTGCAAATGAAAACCGTCCTTTGTTGAGAGGTGTCCGCTAAAGGGAGGTTCTACTGTATTAGTTTTATTGATCTATAGTTAAGTCCATCTCACACTTCTTTGGTATGGTATTGGTAAAAATATTGGTAGGGCCTTGGCTCATCAGTTTCAACCCCTTTATGTGGTTTCACCAGTATAATCAACACTGCCGTGTTTGTCAGCAGTTAAGGTGAAAGGGAAAATTTCACCTTCTTGCTCCAGTTAGAGACTGAGGGGAGGAAGAAATTGTCCTACATTCTTCTCCAACTGATTTAAATTCTATAAAAGGAATTTTATACCGTGGCTCGTTGGTCTAGGGGTATGATTCTCGCTTTGGGTGCGAGAGGTCCCGGGTTCAAATCCGGACGAGCCCTTTTTTTTTTTAAATATTCTCTTTAATGCTTCATTGCTAACCTCACGCCTGCTTATACGTTTTCTCAAAGGCCACTCACGCGCTAACATGTGATTATAAGCCTGTAAACAGGATCTTTACGACCTGCTTGCTTGTTAGCAAAATTCCAACATTTAATAATCTGGTTCAATCACATTTTAACTATATTTTCTGAACCAGTGAAAGTATATATTATTACCTAGTTGTAAATAACCGGGTTTTGACTTTTTCTGAATGAATTTAGGTTTTAATTCATTGGAGATAAAGTGTATTGAAAAATACAGTAGAACTTCCATGAGAGGACACTCACGCTAGACGGACACCTCTCTATAAAGGACAGTTTTCATTTTAAAAATTACCATTTTTACCTTTTTGAAACTCTCCGGTAAGAGGACACCTCTCCCTAAAGGACACTTTAGCTCTGAAATTAGGTGTCCTTTACAGGGAGGTTCTACTGTAACATCTAATTGGTAGTAGCACCTGTTGGTCAGTTAGCCACAAGATTACTGAGTCATATTTAACAAACTCCCTGAAGGCTCCATGATACATATTTTCACGTGACTTATGAATAATAGAATCTACGCTCTTCCTAAATCAAAAAGAAAAGAATTTGAAAGTGTTTTAAGGACTTTTTATTGCCATAAAAGACTTAAATATGAGCAGCGAAAACGTAACAAGACCAAGGGTAGACCAAGACCATAGAAAAGGGTTTGAAGTTGTTTAAAGGACTTTTTATTGGTATAAAAGACTTAAATATGAGCAGCAAAAACGTAACAAGACTAAATTCAAATAATTGAAATGTTTGAGATGTTTCTATAATTTAGATTTGGTCTTGTTACCCTTTGATTCTAATCTATAACCTAAAATTTTACCTTATCATTCAATGTGTTTCAACCTGAACGTATTATTTGAAGAGAACCATGGTATATATTTAACTTCTTTGAGTTCTGTCTCTCTTGGAGACACACACACACTCTGGAAAATATATGTTAAGACTATATAAGGAAAATAATTAATGCATTTTTCTTTTTTCAAACAAAATAATTTCTTACTGTTCTTAATGCGCTTATAAATATTAGGATGCCTGGATCATCAGTGATGAACCCTCCCAACGGTTTCACCAGTTTAATCTACCATACTGCTCTAATATTGTATTGGGTTGTTTTTCTTTTATATTCGGAACTGAATACATGCATCATATTGTAAAAGGTAAAATAGACTGAAAAACAAATTTCATAAAATTATAGAAATTAATTCATATAGATCCAATGGCCCTTATTTTGTCAAAAACGAAATTTTCGGGTCATCTTTGAGAGGTGAGGTAGTGGGGGGAATTTTTCTACTTTATATTCTTCTTTTTCAATATTTTAAGGATATATCTTCTTTTTATAATGTGTTTTAATTATTTTTGTTTGATTCCCGGCCTTCTAGGAGCAGCCTTTCTGTTTGGTTTCTCATCCCTTTTTGTAGTACCTGAGCTCCGTCCCAATCAACTTTGTTATTCTTGTCAATTATATATATGCTAAGATTTCTTATGCTTTTGAGACTTCTGATGTCCTTTTGATATCTATTTTAAAGTTATTTTCCTTTTATCTATGTATTTTTTTCTGGCACCCCAGAAAGAGTGTCTATTTTGTAAACTATGCTATTAATTAAAGGACGGACTTTTTGGGTACTAAGTTTTCAAAGAAAAGTTGAAAGTTCTAAAAAAGGTGCAAATACAAGTATTTACCTATCTAAATTTATTTTAAAATATATTGCTCAAATATTTACAAGGCAATAACGCTACATCTATATATAACAAATGAAAACATTAAGACACGAAGCTAAAAGCTTATGTCCATGGTTTGCTTAAATACCATTTCTAAGATAACACTCTCCAGTGTAGCTTATAAAAGCAGAATGATCCATTACAGTATTAGAGCTCTAAAGAAGCGATCTGGTAGATTAAAAATTGGCGAAACCGCTGGGAGGGTTCACCACTGATGAGCCAAGACCTCCCAATATTTTTCATTGGAGTAAGGACAGTGGAAATTTGATTTATTTGTGAAAAGAAACATTCGCGTCTTAATGTTTTCAATGCTCAAATATATAATTTATTTATTTAGGTAACCCAGGTTCCTGGAGAGTACAGAAGTCACTAACTACTCAATTATATAATTAAACCACATTATAGTATATATATTTTAAAACAATATAGTTTGATTTATGATAATTCTTATATATATAAAGAGAGCAATATTTTATTAAGCTCAAATATTATTTCATTAAAAATGTATATTGAATATATATACAGTCGAATTTAGATAATTAGAAGACCAAGGGACCAAAAACAAAATCGAATTATCCAAAAATTCTCATTAAAAACGGAAATTATATTTATAGGAAATTCTAGGGATCAAGATAAATATTCGAATTAAGCACGTTTTCGAATTAAAGATGTTTGAATTACCCTAGTTCTAATGTATAAAGAGACTTTAAAAGGCATTTTATATATTCAAAATTCCTTATGCCTAAAATATATTATAAATGTTTTTTTAGCAGTTTTTAGAAATTAAATTCTTCTCTGCCACTAAAATACTGCTTGCAGGTTGAACCGCATACCCTTCCCGTCCCATCCTTTGACTTGAATTTCTCTCAAGGAAATATGTTAAACGTGGCTCGTTGGTCTATGGGTATGATTCTCGCTTAGGATGCGAGAGGTCCCGGGTTCAAATCCCAGACGAGCCATCTTTTTTTTTTTTTTTTTTTTTTTAGAAAAAATACGAAAATTCTCACGGGGTTACAAATGGTTTTCACTGAAGAGCCCTATCATAAAGTTTTTGTGGGAAAGAAACCCAGCGGGGGAAAACTAATTATTAATTCCCTTCAAAACATTCTGGGAACCATTAAACCTTTGATGACCTCATCAGAAAAAGAAATTAGATGGGACATGTATTAAAGAGGGTAAGTTAGATGGAAAGAGAACGGTAGAAAGAATAATTGGACTGGATGGGGAGCTATGAAGAAATAAAGAGCACAGGTTGAATAAGCTTGACGCGACTCGAGACTAAACCCGCTCTAGAGCAAAAATTAAACTGAAGAATTTCCCTTAACTTATGATAACCCGGCTCAGTTGCGAGACAACCTTGCCATTGGATCTCTATTTTAAAAAAAAAAGAAGAATAAAAAGAGATGTTTTAATGTTTTCCTGAAAATACCGCGGTTTATAAAATTTAACCTTTCAAAAAAAAATAACAAATTTAATAAGGGATAACTGGTTTGTTTCTTGATATTTCTATTATCAATAAGCTCATTGTCGCGACTAAATTTTCCCAAAGAGATGATGCGTCGCGAACCGGAGAAAAACGTAGAGAGGTTCGGAAAGCTGAAGACCCTTTTTCCTAGGAAGAGATTCACACGATTAGCAGACAAAACTTCTTTAATGTGCATTCTTAACGAAATAACTAAAAAATATGCAAATTCAAAAATACAAAATTCAAAAGAAAAATATGTGTTGGTGGTGTTGCTTATCTCCATGGTAAACCAATTCCTGAAGTCCACTCCTCTCCAATTTTGCGATGGTAGTTATAGTCCTGGAAAATAGTTTAAAATATGTAAACTATCTATTTACATAATAAAAGGGAGAAAGATTTCAACATCCTTTATTCTCGATCCAAGATTTTATTTGAAGGTGGGTTTGTTTGTTCTGCACAAATTGTCACAGTATTGTCACGTAGAGAATTAGGAAAAACAAACTTCAGGATGACACGGCAATTTGTTTAAGGCAAAAGTATACAGTAGTAGTAACATAAAGGTAACCCAGGCTCCTGGAACGTATCCTTAGATCGTCAAATACCCGGGCTGTCCTGCGGTTTAGAAGACTGTCTTGGTAGCCTTAGTGAACCAAGTGTTTCCAGGCCTGTTTGTTTCTTTGTAGATTCATTAGGACAGTGTCATTGAATGAGGGCAGTCCAATAAGTGTAGCCGTTTGGAATCGCTGTAGTTCAAATCCTGGGCAGCTGAAGTAAGTATACATTTAAAAAAATTATAAAATATAAGAGAAGCAATGAGGTAAGTAAACTTTAAAATTAATAATCCGTTAATAAATATTTTACTATAATATTTTTTGTGAATAATTAATTAAAATATTTTATAACAAATGAAAAATTAAGACGCGAATGTTTCTTTTCACAAATAAATCAAATTTCTACTGTCCTTACTGCGATGAAAAAATATTGGGAAGGCTTGGCTCATCAGTAGTGAACCCTCCCAGCTCCAAAGAAGCGGTTTGGTAGATCAAATTGGCGAAACCGCTGGGAGGGTTCACCACTGATGAGCCAAGCCCTCCCAAAGTTTTTTCATCACAGTAAGGACAGTAGAAGTTTGATTTATTTGTGTAAAGAAACATTCGCGTCTTAATGTTTTCATTTGTTATATATAGATGTCGCGTTATTCCTTTGTATTAAATCTACTTATATATTTGCCTTATTCTGCCTGTTTGTTTGTCTGTCTGAAGCTCACGGATGGGATTTTTCATAACCATCGGTGGTTCAGTGGTAGAATGCTCGCATGCCACGCGGGCGGCCCTGGTTCGATTCCCGGCCGATGCATTTTTTTTTTTTACAATTTTTAAAACTCATTTATATATTATACAAGAATGACATCCACGGCGCCAATTTATAATTGTAACGAATAGTATTTGAATAAAAGCATTTAATCGGGTAAAACCCGGGCGTTGCCCGGGTCATTCGTATATAATAATTGTATAAACGAATGCAAGACAAAATCACCGCGAATGTTTCTTTTTTTTTAAGGCAATTTCTTTTTAAGGCAATTATCGTTAATTTTTGTTTCGATTTTATTGAAAAAAAAACGATATGGTGCCTTTAAAAATGATCTTTATTACTATGCAGTTTTCTATTTAGTCAATATACCTAAGTTCATGTTGCAAATGTAATTATCTCTATCGATTTAGTAGGTGAAATGCAAAAAAAAAAAAATCGACATGATGAAATCTTTATGAAAATTCACATTTTTATTTTTATATTTTCAAGACACACACAGTTTGGGGCGGGACGTTTCACAAGAGAGACATCCACGGCGCCAATTTATAATTGTAACGAATAGTATTTTAATTAAAACATTTTGAAAACACACAGTTTGGAACGGGACGTTTCACAAGAGTGACATCCATGGCGCCAATTTATAATTGTAACGAATAGTATTTGAATTAAAACGTTTTTAAAATATATACGCACTCGGGTAAAACCCGGGCGTTGCCCGGGCCAATCGTCTAGTCTACTTATATATTTGCCTTATTCTGTCTGTTTGTTTGTCTGTCTGAAGCTCACGGATGGGATTTTTCATAACCATCGGTGGTTCAGTGGTAGAATGCTCGCCTGCCACGCGGGCGGCCCGGGTTCGATTCCCGGCCGATGCATTTTTTTTTTTTTTTACAATTTTTAAAACTCATTTATATATTATACTAGCGGACGTACCCGGCTTCGCCCGGGTTTTACCCGAGTAAAAGTTTGTCTAACGAATATCTCGATAAAGTGAACATTTTTTTCCCGGTCCTTTGAAAAATACTCGATAAGTTGAATAAAATCAATATTAATTGGTTCCCTCGGTAATTGAAAGTTAAAGGAATAGTATCTTGCCTTGGAATTGTATCATTATTCTTGTATGGATGTACCCGGCTTCGCCCGGGTTTTACCCGAGTAAAGGTTTGTTTAACGAATCTCTCGATAAAGTGAACATTTTTTCCCGGTCCCTTGAAAAATACTCGATAAGTTGAATAAAATCAATATTAATTGGTTCCCTCGGTAATTGGAAGTTAAAGGAATAGTATCTTGCCTTGGAATTGTATCATTATTCTTGTAAGGATGTACCCGGCTTCGCCCGGGTTTTACCCGAGTAAAGGTTTGTTTAACGAATCTCTCGATAAAGTGAACATTTTTCCCCGGTCCCTTGAAAAATACTCGATAAGTTGAATAAAATCAATATTAATTGGTTCCCTCGGTAATTGGAAGTTAAAGGAATAGTATCTTGCCTTGGGATTGTATCATTATTCTTGTCTCAAATAAATTGCCGTGTCATCCTGAATTTTGTCTTTCCTAATTTTCTACATTACAAAATCATCGTATCATCATGATAATATTTAGAGCAGATTGTTGAATTATAACAGATAAATTAGAATATTTATCTTGATTATTTCTAGGCGAAAAGTTATTTCAAAAATTTTATTCGCTAGAAACCTTCCCAGTACTATACTAAATAACCTCCCAAAGTTTCATGGCGATCCAATGAGTGGTTTGGTCAGGCATAAAGGACAAACAAACAAACAGACACACATACATTCATTTTTATATATATAGACAAGAATGACATCCACGGCGCCAATTTATAATTGTAACGAATAGTATTTGAAAAAAAACATTTAATCGGGTAAAACCCGGGCGTTGCCCGGGTCATTCGTATATAATAATTGTATAAACGAATGCAAGACAAAATCACCGCGAATGTTTCTTTTTTTTAAGGCAATTTCTTTTTAAGGCAATTATCGTTATTTATCGTTAATTTTTGTTTCGATTTTATTGAAAAAAAAACCGATATGGTGCCTTTAAAAAATGATCTTTATTACTATGCAGTTTTCTATTTAGTCAATATACCTAAGTTCATGTTGCAAATGTAATTATCTCTATCGATTTAGTAGGTGAAATGCAAAAAAAAAAATCGACATGAAATCTTTATGAAAATACACATTTTTATTTTTATATTTTCAAGACACACACAGTTTGGGGCGGGACGTTTCACAAGAGAGACATCCACGGCGCCAATTTATAATTGTAACGAATAGTATTTGAATTAAAACGTTTTTAAAATATATACGCACTCGAGTAAAACCCGGGCGTTGCCCGGGCCATTCGTCTAGTTTTTTATAACTGATTAAATAAATTAATCTGCCCGTGAATTGGCTCTACTGCAGTTTTAAGTGCCTTTATTATTATTATTGTAAATGATTTTTATCTTATATTTTTATGACCTTTGTTATCTTATTATCCTGGAATTCGGGTTACATCAATAGAGAGTGTGTGTTATATATATATATGTTATATTAATAAATAAACATTTTGTTTATCTTAATTAAACGAGTCCTCGTCATCACTACACCGTGACTACTGTTGGAAAAGCTGGATCATCGCCGCCCCAGCCGTTAGAAGAAGTAGAAGACTCCAAGGACTAGAGAGAACCTCAAGAACATTCAGCTATGATAAAACAAAAGACTCAGACCAAAGAGGGTGAGTACTAATGTTAACCCTTCATAAGCCCTTCTATTCTAACGAGAGAATCCGATAAGAACCCGGAGAAAAGGTTTTAAAATTTCCATCTCATCGCTCGCTACTACTGCTGGGATAACTCAATGTGCCTGAAAAATGTTTTTTTTTTTCTTCTCAGGAATAGCACGAGTATGGTTTGTAAACATCGAGAAGCAAATACCTTCCTGGGATATTTTTATAAGGATGTTTTCTCAGACATTTTGACATCACATCGTCCAAAAAGAGAAGATTCTGGAAAAAAACTTAAAACTCGCGCCCAGGGAAAGAGAGAATCAAGAATATTATTAATAACAATTTTATAAAAAGTAATACAACATTTGAAAGGAAATATAGAAATTAGTCCATTTCCGACCACCCCGCGACCATCCAGAAGTCTGAAATTTTATCAACTTGCATTGTCATCAAGTT